TGGGCTCTATCTGATCCAGACAATTTCTGTCTCTCTGCTAACACCCTAGTCCAAATCCCCATCATCTCTTGCCTAGATTATTGCTACCATTTCTTAACCAATCTCATTGTTACACTTGCCCTCTTACAGTCTTCTCGGCAACCTAAATGCCATTTTCACTCAAAGGATATGACAAAGTCCTTGCAATAGCCAGAAAGCTTTATATGTATGACATACTCTCCTCCATTATTTGTCCAGCCTCTTCTAGTACACTCTTCTTTGTTCACTCTGTTCCAGTCACCTGGATTCCTCATTATCCCTTGACTGCCTCAAGCACACTCCCACCTATGAACCTTTGCACTGGTTATTCTCTCTGTTTGGAATGTTCTTTCTTTAGACATCCACATAGTTCATTTCTTGTATCCATCAAGTCTGTTCTGATGACACCTCCATGAGGTCTACCCTGATCCCTCTCGTTAAAATCCCCCTATTCCTGATCCGACTAGTAATGCTATAGTTTTGCTTCAATAGCACTAATCATCTCCATTATGTACTTGTCATTTTAAACATGTCTTCTCGTTTTAATCTCCATTAGGAGTAGGATTTTTGTCTGTTTTATTCACTCACGTGTCCCCAGAATCTAAAACAATACCAGGCACAGAGTAGGCAGTCCATCAGTATTTGCTGCATAAACAAAGGATGAGAGAAGAATTAACTGAACAAAATGAAGGACTACACTGTCACTTAAGGGAAGTCAAGCCCTCTATTTTAAATGCCAAACTCCCCATAATAACTAATTACTTGATACCACCACTTAAATGTTTAAGGAGATAAAAAAAATAACTTTCCAAATACTTATTCCTCATTCAGCAAATGGCCCCACTATCTACCTAAGTATATAAACCAGAAACATAGGTCAGCCTTGACTGACCCTCTCACCCTCCCATATCTAATTCATCAAGAAGTCCCATCAATTCTACCATAAAAATTCAGCTCAAATCCACTCACTTCTCTTTATCTCCACTGGTAGGACTCTAGTCCAACCCATCACAATCTCTCACATGTACTATTTTGATAGCCTCCTATCTGTTCTCTCTGCTTTATTGTCTTGCTTTCTTTAATCCATTTCCTTAAAAGCAGCAAAAGTGTTCTTTAAAATGTAAATAGGATCATAATACTCCTTTGCTTAAAATCTCAAAATCTCACAGATCTTGTTCTGTGAATGATGTGGCTTCTGTCTACATGTCAACTCCGTCTGTGCCATGCGCCAGTCTACCCCTTGCTCATTAAGCTACTTCCACAAAGGTCTTCCTTCAGGCCCTCCAGTAAGTTCTATTCTTCGTACATGCCATTCTCATTTCCTCCACGCTTCACCAAGAAAGATGGCCTCCTGTCTAAAGTAGCTCTCCCCCTCTTATTCTATACCTCATTCCTTGTTTCCTTCATAATTGTGCTTTGTTTCTTCTCCATTACAATATAAGCTCCGTGAGGGTAGGGATCACAACAGCAGGTACAAAAGGGAGGAGAAGGTACCTCACTGGAAATGTCTGAGAAGTACGGTAGGTCTCTCTCAACTGTAAGAGCTGTCAGTCCAGTGCTCATCGCCACCATACTCCCTCCAGATGCTCCCTCCTTCTATCATTTCAAAAGGAATGCAAGACAAGTTTTTGCTGGCAAATCACATTAATTCCAATTGCTATGCACTGAACTGTGGCCTGCCAAAATTCTTATGTTGAAGCACTACCCTCAATGTGATGGCATATGGAGATGGGCTCTTTGGGAGATAATTAGGTTTAGGTACTCACTCTCTGCCACAGAGCAAGAAGGCAGCTCTCTGAAAGCCAGGAAGAGAGCTCTCTGCAGCACCCTGATCTTGGACTCCTCACCTCTAGATTTGTGAGAAATAAATTTCTGTTGATAAAACTGCCCAGACTACAGTATTTTGTTATGGCAGCCTGAGCTAAGAGACCAACCAAAGTGAGATGCTCCAGTCTCATCTGCAATATAACCAAATACATATGTAAAAAGGTACCTGATACAGTGGCATTCTCTTTCAAAACTCTGCTCGTAAACCCAAACTGCTCCACTGTTAGATGTTCTCCAAAGAGCTACACTTTTGAAGACTGAGCCCTGTTAAAGCTATCATTCTTCAGTGATAAAGACACTCATAACTTGCAAATACTCAAATGCTACAAGAAGACTTCACCTCTGGTACCAAAGGGAGGTGGATAGCATCCTCCCCTCAGCCACCATCCAACTTACCCAGCTCTATGCACTAAAAGGGGTGTGTCAGGCACACCAAGACATACCAACAACTGTGTTTTATTCAGAAAGACTCCACACAAACACTCCTAGAGCTGATGAACGAATTCAGCAAGGTAGCAGGATACAACATTAACAAAATATAGCCAAAATATGGAAGCAACCTGTATGTCCATTGACAAGTGACTAGATAAAGAAGTTGTGGTGTGTACGTATGTATGTATATATGTGTGTGTATGTGTGTGTGTGTGTGTCTATCTATCTATCTATCACAGAATACTACTCAGCCATAAAAAAGAATAAAATAATGCCATCTGCAGCAACATGGATGGACCTGAAGATTGTCATACTAAGTGAAGTAAGCCAGAAAGAGGAAGAAAAATATCATATGATATCACGTATATGTGGAATCTTAAAAAAAAAAGACACAAATGAACTTATTTACAATACAGAGACTCACAGACACAGAAAACAAACTTACGGATACCAGGGAGAAGGAGAGTAGGGAGGGATAAAGTGGGAGTTCAGGATTTGCAGATACTAACAACTGTATATAAAATAGATAAACAACAAAGTCCTACTGTATAGCATAGGGAACTATATCCAATACCTTGTAATGACCTATAATGAAAAAGAATATGAAAAGGAATATATGTGTGTATAAATGAATCACTACGCTGTACACCAGAAATTAACACAACACTGTAAATTGACTATACTTCCATTAAAAAAAAAAGAAAGACTCATTGATGTTTCAGTTAGGAAGTAATTTTGGTTGGGATTCATGACAGCATATAGAAACATTTCCTCAGGCAATCTTCCCATGGGATTTCTGCCTAAATGAGAATCTCACAGAACTCTATTAAACTACTGTTTGTTTTTTTTCAAGCAGATATTTCAAAAAGCTCAGTTTCCCCTCCTCCAAAAAGGCTCTAATTGTAAATTAAAGCAGAAACTAGAATCTTTGTTAGAAACTTACTTTTAAACATTCAGAAGCTTATATGTTTTATAAAAGGGAACAGTCTAACATCATATTTTTAAAAATTCAGATTCTTTGTAGAATATGAATTATAAACTCAGTTATTTTTCTGGTACTCCTGCTTCGAGGATTTCAAAACATAGTCTTTAAACTTAGTAGTTAAAAAAAAAAAACCCATGTCTATCTTACAGGGAGAAATAAGGAAAAACAGGAAAAGTAGTCGCCAACAGGCTATGAAGGTCTAGAGCTCCATGTCTACAAGAAAGAGCAACATCGATCCAAATTATCAAAGGCATAAAGCTTGTTTACAAAGCAGAGGAGGGCAGTATTATTGTGAGTGGAACATCAAATGTGCTCTGAAATGGGGCCTGGACAGTAAGCACAGGGGCAACAGGATGCTCAAGCTGAAAAGATCTCTACATTTTAGAATGTGATTCCAAACACTAATCGACACTGCACTAAGTGCCGTAAGGGACACGGTGGTGGAAACACACAGCTTTGAGGGCTCTAAGATAGTATTAATCTTCAAAAAATTTTAAAGATTAACACTTCCTCATCTTTCCAGTAATTTCCAACAACTTCATCTGCACAAAACCCAGCCCCACCTGTGAGTATCCACTGTCCATATGCTGCTCCCTCCTATATTTGCCTATTGCAGAGGGAAGGAACAGGAGCTTACAGCTTTGGGGAAGCAGAATATAGTTTCCTTTCATAAAAAGGTTTTAAGCCTCTGGCCTAGACATTCATAGCAATCATTACACAATAAAGGGAAACATAAACCAGCCTCTCCAACCCACTTAAAAACAGAATCTTCTGGTCATCCTCTGTATTTCTCTCAGAGAGAGACAGTAACTCGTTCTTAGTTATACGGAGAATGGCGATTTTGCCAGGAAATGAACCTCATGTCTCTTCACTCTTAGTCTAGTGCCCTTTCTAATATACCATGTTGCCTTCCATTTAGCAATCAAAGTAAATCAAGGCCTAAATAAGTAGGGACTCTGCCCAAGGCGTACCCACGTCTCCTTAGTCCTGGAGTGAATTCCAACCTTGAAAAGCCAAATAAAGAAAGTTTGAGAAAAGCTTGTCAACATATCTAGCAGAATACTTGATACTCAGCGGACTCTATTTTTCCATCACACCAGCCCCTCCAATCTTTCAACTGTGCCCTTTAAACTGTCCCACCTCATAAGCGTGAAAACAATTGTGTGTGTCTCTTCCCCCAAGAAAGGTTAGGTCAAGAGAGAAAATAGTCTACTTTCTTTCTGCCAGAATTCTGGCACAGTGGGACTGTACAGGAATGCACCTACTGTGGAATCTTCCCACACTCCTGAGTTGTTAAGAGTGACCAGCACAGGCATGTTCCATACACTCCCCAAATACCTGAGCTGGCAACAACAAAAGATATTCAGAGGTCTTAGCCCTGGGACAACAGCCTCTGTCACTCAACAACAGTTCTCACGATCGTGCTTCTACTCTTACTTCAACTTCATACCAAACAGTGTATCACACCTGTACCAGCACTTGAGAAAACCACGCAAATGAATTCACACAGCAGTACGGCAGTTTTGGCAGGGTACCAATACTAATGATAAAGCATAATTTAAAAAAAATTCAAAGACCTTACACAAGCATATTACTCTTAGCATTTACTAGCAGATTTGACAAAGGATCGCGGGCCAATAATCTGTCTTTGAAGCCAACACCAAAAAGGATCAGGTAGAGTTTCCATGCAAAGGAAGCTACCTGGTAAGAAGGCAAAGATCAGCATTTTATCTCTTACCTGAAGCCAAAGGTCGGATCCACTCTTTGCTATTTAGGTCAAGTCTCCAGAGGTCATTGAAGGCAGCATTGCAGCTGCTCTGGGTACAGCCTCCAAACACATACATAGACTGATTAGCATCATAATAGCATGCACCTAGAAAGAAAATAATAAATGAACAACTGATATCTAATTCTGAAGCCCCTCTAACATCTTAATGATAGCCCATAATTTTCAAAGATCAATTATTTCACACACTGAAATTCTGTTATAGGTACCAACTTTCTTATAACCAGCCTCTTGTCTTCAGATTGGTCAATATCACAATAAACTTTAAAATAAGGTCCAGAGAAAAGCTATGGAAATGTTATTTCTGAGCACACTAAGTAAAGTGACAATGATGTCATTAAATAAGACAGTATAATTCTAGCATGAGCACACAAGAAGTCCAGATTACGGGTGCTCAATGAGTGAAATTTCAGCACAGCTGCATAATTAATCTAAATCTGCATCATTATCCTGTAGGGCTAGGCAAAAACAGTCAGCGCTAACAGATGTATTCTGTCCTCCCATTTCTCTCTACCAGTCCTCCTCTTATTGTTTTTGCTTTCAAGCACAAACCAGTAAACAAGGCTTTATACAAAAGAGAATGACAGAAAACAACTGTCATAAAGCAACCACACATAAAGAACCAATGTAGTTTGGGGATCTCAGAAGTAGAATGGTCCTAAAACAACTAAGAGAAAAAAACATAAAAGTCATTAAACCCCTAAGTGTATCCAAAAGCCACCAAGACTGACTGATTGGTGCTGAACAGAAAATCAATGCAGCAAGTAACATTAAAAAAGCACCAGGTCTTTAACAAGAGTCTTTTTAATTAGATGATTATATACACCTCACAAATGGGCACTATTCTGAAGAAAAGATGCAATGACCATGAAAGGGTCTGTTCCCCTAAAACCAGAAAGACCAAAGCCAGAGTCCAGACAAAAGACATAAAAGCTAAGCTCTGCCACCTTGCTTCTCATTGGAAAGCTCATTTAGCCTCTATTCTTTGGAAAAGATGACCATGCTCCTTACGGTCCTGCATTTATCATCTTGGATTTCAGGAAAAGGGCCAAACAAAACTTTTCACTCATTTCATGCATACCAGTGGTGAAAAAAGACCTCACAAGGATCATGCGAAATTAGGCTAGAATAGTTACGTGTCACATAAAAGAAATGGGAAAGGGAAAAGAAATTCAGAGATTCATTTCACTAGTGCATGGTTTTAGTGAACATCCAGTTTATCTACACGTCTAGTTCAGTTTAGCACACCACGGTTTTTAAGATCTCTTCTGAACTCTGGCACCACTTATTCAAGTTAAGAAAAAAGGAAACGTCACTACTATAATTACCCCTGTGATAAATACTAGCTCTGGGAATAACTTTCCTTTTTTATTTTTTTCTTAACTCAGTCCACCCGACAGGGCTTTGAGGACTTCTACACTAGGAAGGACAAGTCAGAAAACTGGGTAAGTTAAGAGATAATAAAAGCAGTGTGTTTAGTCACTTACACCCAAATAATCTTAGCCAGAAGAAGGAGTAAATCCAAAACATCTGATAAGACATTGTGCAATAATGGAGCTGCAGACTTGTCAAATTAACAAAGAAATTAAAGAAACTAGAGATCTGAAGAAATGAAATACCAGTTAATCATCAATAGGCTCACATCTGCAAAATAATTATTCCCAGAGCTCAGACACACTACAATGGTATATGAAGGTTTAAATGATCTTATACTTTCCACTGATTTTCTTTGCCTTTGAAAATAACTTCTAGTCCATATCTAAATCAGTTTTTAAATCCACATTCCAACAAGAAAGTCTATTAAGAAGTAAAATCCTACATAATTCCATTGTTCATGTTTCAGGTCTAAGAACTGCAAATAACAAAGGATCAAGTTAGATGACATTAGACAAACAATAACTGTAATTCCTGAAGCCACGTTTTAATCTCCACTAAAGGAGCTGAGCTTTAGATATCTTGGTCTTCTCACATCTTTTACAGAGGTACTGGGGATTGAACCCTGGACCTCATGCATGCCAAGCATGCACTCTACCACTGACCTATACCCTCCCACCAATATCTTTTTTGAACTAGCTACTCCAACAAATGGGACAATTTTGAACCAATCAACTGATGCTCAGTATAAAAGAACATTCTCTTAGTCTTGATAATATATACCCCCAGAACAGAAATTAGCAATGTCCTCTGGCTTCTGAAACCTTAACTGATGTCAAGACAAATACATGATTTCATAACTAAAAGAGTCAGGGGCTCATTTATGCCTCACTGCTCCTCAAAGATCAACCCTTAGCAATGGCTTCCTTCACATAGCAAAAGAGCACAGTGCCTTTACTTTTCAAAGAGGTAGCAAACATTCTTCTTCTCTCTTTGGATTGAAAACCTAGCCAGTAGCTGGGCCCCACGAGGTCCTTACCACATGTTTTTTAATCCTAAACTAAAATAAGGCAGTCGGCATTTTCCTGCTTCTTTTTGAGCAAACAAAGGTTTCTGGAAGAGGAAGGCACAGCCCAAACTCTACGCAAAGCTAAGGGACTGAAATGACATGTTTCACACACTGTATTTTCAATATCCAGCAGTCATTATCAACAAAGCTTGGAGAGGAAGGGAGTCAATTCAGGCAGCTATGTTTAGAACTCAGATATAATGGGAATGAGAAAATAGCCATCAATAACGCACTCAAATATTTTAAGCATCCTAAGAACTATGTTTGTCTATTTTTATTTAAGACGCCTACATGTTGTTTTGGGTGGGGGTTGGGGAGACCCAACAAGTTCAATGGGCCTTTTAGAAAAAAATTTAGTATTTCAGCAAATACCACTGCTCAAGTAGTTATTTCCTTTTACCAAAGTTCTCCACCCAAAAAGAATATTTTCTTTTCAGAACATCTAGACCATTGGAATGTGCTATACAAAAGTTACAGTTCACAGTACAGTATGACTACTCTGCTAAGAAATTAACATAAAGAATGTGATTATCCCAATTGCTAAATCTCTTCAAATTTTCTGAAATGTGCTTGACTGCTCCATGAACACCTACTGCAAGTCACGTATCTCAGGTTAAAATCTAATAATCCCTATTCAAAGACAAGTCAAATATTCACAATTACACACACAACCAGCAAATGGGTCTTCAGTGTTCTGAATACTTTCCTACTATATTATAATTCTCTGAAGTACAAGGTCTTCCAGTTGTTTCATATTTTCCATGGTGCCTGGTGGTCACTAAATTAATGTTTACTGAACTGTAATTTTTACACTTTCAGACATTAAATTCTCTTTTGTTTCTCCGTGTGTCTCCAGGGAAAGGTCCTAAGGCATTTATCCCATGCTTAAAGAAACTATGCTGTCATGTGTCTTACACATACAAGCCAGGACATACTTGATAAGGCTTGTAATTACGTAACTATGGAATAAGAAAGGCTGGTTATCCAGTCTGGGCCTGCTGCCTACTGCAGGAGCACAATCAGCACTTGTATGGAATGACCTGACCGTATTTTCAGCTTAAACACTAAAATATTTTTCAAAATGTGATTCTGGGGACTCAAAAGACTCCTGTGTCAGTCTGAAAGGGACATCCTACATTAATCAAGGGTTGCATGATTGGCCACACACATATTCACCAAAAAACTAGGAGAGCTGGCTTCGTTTTTCTTCCCTACATTTTTTGTCCCAGACTTTCACATAGGAAAGCTCTACTGCTCATTATCTTTGTTACACAATTCCACAGAATTTAATAAATATCAGCTATGAACCAGGTGTTGTTAAAGGTGCACGGATGTCTGAGACATGGAACCTGACTGTCGTCAAGTAGATAACAATATTGTGGAGGAGACATCATTATCATCCTACCATTTTGCAGGTTAAAACATATTTTTACAAGTGTTTCCTCAATTAAATTTCCTAGCAACCCTGTGGCATACACAGAATTTGTCACACACATTTTACAGATGAAAAAACTATGGGTTAGAGGAGCAGAGGAACTCTCTTCCCAATCTAAAGTTCTTCCTTTGCATGTAGCCTCTCTTACACAGATATTTACAGTAAAAAATGGGGGTCTAAGCAGAGGAAGAAAAGAGCTTAATCTCCAAGGTCGGGAATTTGAGAGTGGTGTAAAAGAAGGTGGCTTTCAGCTTTGTCTCTTAAATGGGTTTTAGAGAACAGAACATTTTCAGTCAATTAACAAGGAGTGAAAGAGTCTAAGGGTGAAAAGGGAATGGGAGGGAAAGGGAGAATGAAATCAGGGAATACAAGCAAAACTATGAAGTAGGGAAGTTTAAGACTACAAGGATTCTTGTGTGGGTGGAACCTGGCTGTGTAAGGATGCAGCAGTGAGTCAGGCTGAAAAGATAAGCTGGGGCCTTGAACACCAGTAGAGTAGAAACTTTTACACGCAGTGCTGAAAGGCTAAGGCTTTTTTGGCAGAGGCTGGTTTTATATTTCAGACTTGCAGTGTTTTCTGACAGGGGCTCCTGTCACTTCGGGCAGGTCAATTCTCTGTGTGTAGGATCATCCCATTCACAGCAGGACACTTAGCACCTCTGGTCGTTGCCTACCAACTGCTTATAGTACTTTTCCAGCCTAGACAATAAACAATGACTTTACACATTTCCAAATGCCCTAGGTGGTGGCACTGTCCCCGGTTTTACAGATGGCTGCCAACAGTGTCTAGTCCAGGTTCACATGAAGAGAGAGGAAAGGCAAGAAGACCATTTAGAAATGATTTAGGAAAGATGGAATGATTAAATCAGAAATGTGCGTAAAAGTGGGGGAAGGGAAAGGTATGAGAGAGACCGCAGAGACAGAACAGAATCAACAAGTTTTGACTTTTGTTGCTGAGGAAGGAAGAGGAATTGAGGATGGATCCAAGATTTCAAGCTTGTATAATTGAGAGAATGATAATGGCATTAACTAAATTAGGGAGAGGAGAAAATTTGGCGGGGTAGGGGGAGGGAACTACTGAATTTTACTTTTAGCTGACTAAATAAGAAACATCTGTGGATCTCTTGGCACTATGAGCAAAGAATCGGAAATGTGGATCTCAAACTCAACATGAGTACATGGAATAAAATAGAGCTCAAGGGAGAAATACAGACTTAGAAGAGGAAGGAGCTAAGGAAAAAATTAAAGGAATTCCTTGTTTTCAACCTATTTTGAAATCCACCCATTCCTGTAACAATCCTCTTCAGCCTGCCAGTTAGATAGCATGTACAGACAGATAGGAGGAAACAATGAGACAGGCCGAAAGAGACAACGAAAGGCAATGAAACACACAAACATCATTAAAAAAAAAACAAACTATGACACCCTTTATTGGATTTCAAGTAAGGACATGAAAAAAATTTTAAAGCAAAAACAAGTATCAAAACCCACCAACCTCTGAATTCTGTGAGCTTACTCATAGTACCATCCCTTTCTATTTCCCTTTCAAAAAATACTGACTGTTTTGTGGTAATACTCTTTTCAAAAGCTAGTTAACTGAAAAATATTTTTTCCCTCTCTCATCAGAAAGCTGAACTGTTGCTCGGATAATTATTCACCCCATTTCCTAGTCTGGTTTCTGTTTTACCCAAATTCATGTGGTTTCCCTCTCTTTTAGTTCTAAAACTACTTGTTTCCAAACACCATCCTAAAAAAAAGTCTTTAGTCCTTAGAAACCTTGTCTCTTCTTCCTATTCCAATTATCTGTAGATACCTGAAGTTGCCCCTTCCTCAACAATAAATACTGGACCTAATATGGATCCTCCTGTAATTTCATTAAATATTTTCCGCAAAGATTATTTAGTCTATCACAGCAGTTATCAAAGTGTGGTCTGTGGACTCCTGAAAACATGAGATTCTTTCAAAACTATTTTTATAATAATAATAATGAGAAGAAAAAGTATAGTAGTAACTAATTGTTTATTTCACTGTGTTGACATCTGTACTAATAAAGAAAGCTGGGAAAATCAAGGTAAGGGTGCTAAGCTACTCTAGGGATCACTGTGTTCGTCACTCCTACACACCCACAGCTTAAAACGAAGCCAGTTCTGACTTCACAGATACCCCAAAGAGTCTCACAGAAGCCCTTCTTCCCTCAAAGTGCAGGAATCTCACTTTGAGATCCGACACTCCAGGGGAGTCACAACAGCTCCCCTGTGAGTAAAAACAGCTCTTTGAGAGAACCAAAAACACAACAAATACTTTGGCCTGCTCCTTTGCTCTATTTAGATCCTGTTCAAAGAGTTATTATTATTTACTGAGTTCTCCTCTGGATATGAGAGTATAGCATATGGTCTGGGGTAGTCAACCTCCAGGAGGCCTCCAATGATCCTCACACCCTTGGTCAATCCCTGTGTAACCAATAGAATAGAGCAGAAAAGAAGGTATTCACTCCAGAGATTACTCCATGGCTGCTGTCCTGGTGTCTGTCTCTGTCTCTCTCTGATCATTCATTTTGTGGGAAGCCAGCTGCCAAGTCATAAGCAGCTCTGTGGAGAGATCCATGTAGTAAGGAATGGAGTCTCCTGCCAAAGGTTACTGAGTGAGTTTGGAAGCAGACTTCCCAGGCAACATGGATAGCCAGTAACTCTCCTTCCCCTCAGGAGTTCAAAACATGGCTTAAAAAAAAAAAAAAAAAAGACAAGTTCATATAAGCTAACAACGAAATACAATGTGAGTTATACACCAAATTAGTATTCTAGACAACAATGTAAGCTCAGAGAAGGAAAATTTTTTCTGTGGGTTAGAGAGTTGAGAAAAGGTTTCCTGAAGGAGCTAGAACTTCAACTGAGTTTTCAAGGAGAAGCAGGCTTCAGCTAAGTGGACAGGAATACTCCAGGGAGGAAGAAACGAGTATAGCCAAGTGACAACTTGAAAGAGGAGAGCTCTTGGGAAAAGTTGGGAGATGAAATGGTAGATTTAGACAAAAGTCAACTTAAAGAGGGTCTTACATATAAGACTAAGTTTAGCTTTTATCTTGTAGCATTGAATAGACATTGAAGGTTTCTTGAAAAGAGAAGTAATATTAGCTAAAATAGTAACTCTGAGAACTTTCTAAGAGGCTTCCTTTCCTCTCAATGAAACTTCTTTATGCAAAACTATTAATAAATACACCTTTACTGGCTTAAGTTATATCACATCTCAATCTCACTTTGATGGAGGCATAGAAATCACTAACAGAATAAAACGGTATCTACAAAAATCAGCTAAGATGGAGAATTTAGAGTAAGTAAAAAACCCTAAATTATGTCTATTTGCCAGAACATTTATAATTTTACTACTTAAATTTGTGTTTTATAATCAACACCCTTCATGTTTAAAATTTCTTTGTGTCCTCAGTCAAACTTAGTGTTTGCTGAACATGCACTATTTTAAAGTTGAGTTTAATATAAGACACAGTACTAAACTCTGGATACTCCCTAAGCAGGATCTCAGAAAGCCGCAGACATGCCTTCCTTTTGTTTTCCTCCTACATGATGTCAAACGGTTAAAAGTTTAAGCGTAACACCTTGACCTCTTTGGAGCAGGAGATACTAGAAAAATCCAATGAAAAAGCAGAATATAAACTTATACAACAGTACCTACAATATACTTAGGCTGTGCTCTTCCCTAATTCTGACTGTAAAATTAATATAAACCCTCCTTTTACATTTTCTTCATTAAAAAGTCAAACAAAATCCAAGCCTCCAAAGAAGTGTTTGGAAACATGACTACTGGCAGGATGGGACCTATTTTCACAGTAAATACTTACTGTGTGAGAACCGCTGAGTGATTGGGGTTCCAGGATAAGGGTAAGTCCGACTCTCCCACTGAATGTTTCCTTCCTGGACAGCCTTTATGAAACCATGATAACACTGGTGGGCTACACCTAAAGACAAAAATAACAAATACCTCAGCCTAGACTCTTCACTTGTAAATCAAATTATTAACACTGCATTTATTGTCTTATCACTTTTACTAGACATAAGTTTCTTTGAGGAACTCCAAATTTCTTTGACTTCTCATCCAAAGATACAAATAGAATCACAGAATTTCAAAACTGGAAGATCAAATCCCTTCACTTTACCAAGGTTCAGAATGGTTAAGTGACTCCCTCAGGATTACAAAATCAGCTCACACTTTAACTCTGCTCCCCTTTATGTCATACCAGGAGGCAACATACCAAAATAACTGGTGCTACTTACTCCAGAGCAAAGGGGCTGGTAAAACAGTCTCTGGAATACAACAGCTGCTCAGTAAGTATTTAGACTGTGGCAACCAGGTATTGTCCATCTTAAACAAGGAGATAATAAGCTGACAGTGCATTATGAAAAGATCAATTTACAACTAGGGAAGGCTGTTTTTAAAAAAGTGAGAGCTTTTAATGTAATGGTGGATGCATGTCATTATACACTTGTCCAAACCCACAGAATGTACAGCAAGTGTGAACTCTAATGTAAACTACAAACTTTGGGTGATGATGATGCATCAATGTACGTTCATCATTGTAACAAATGCACCTCTCTGGTGGGGGATGTTGAAAGCAGGGGAGGCTGTGCATATGTAAGGGGACAGTGGGTATTCAGGAAATCTATGAACCTGCTCAATTTTGCTGTGAACCTAAAACTACTCTAAAAAAAAAAATCTATTAAAAAAAAAGTGAAAGCTTCATATTTCTGAAACAATCTATTTTTCCAACACATGAAATTACTATCTTATTTTTCAAAGAGAAACATTTTGAATGAAAAGTATAACCAATTATTTACATTTTGAAAGAACATATCATTCTTGAATTAATACTACATTAGTGGATCCTTAAGCAGGGTCACAGAACATGTATTCCAATGATGATCATTACCCCTTGCTTGAACTCACAGTTAGGAACTGGAATATTAAAAAGACATGGCCATTTTTAATGTGTGACCACAATGCGACTATGCACTGGTGAAGCAACACACATTTGCAAATGCTGAAATGAGGTGAGGCAGTAATGAATAAAAGACAGATACATAATGACTCAGGGAAAAAAAACTGTATTGGCAGTGATTTCCCCGAAGATTTAAGACTGTGAGTACTAGGTTAAGGCTCCTCTCTCTTAAAAAAAAAAAAAAAAAAAGATCAAAATGGTAAGAATGCCAAATAAAACCTAAGAATAAATTCATATACTTGATTAGATCACCACCCTCATCTGTGATTCTGAAATTTCATGATACTCTTCCTTGATGTAGTTTTTTTTTTAATTGCACTGGAAACCTTGGTGATTACTTTTAATCTGGAAAGTCATGTGCTTTAGTCCTATCTCATATGTCTAATAAATTGTATTATTTTTGGTAATTTCATCCTCTTCATTTTTTAGAAACTGTTTTCTCTTTCTGGAACTCCTAACAATCAGAGAATGGCCCTCTGACTAATCATTAAAATTTTAAAAATCTTTTCTCTCCATAAAAATAATCTCTTTATTGTTTTGTTTTTCACTTTCTGGGAAATGATCTCAATTCAAATATTTCTTTTGAAATCCTTACTTCTATTAACTTTTTTTTTTTAATAACTAAGAGCTCTATCTCTGCCTCTGAATCTTTCTTTTTAAAAATTGCTTACTATTCTTGTTTCACAGATGATCTATTTTATCTTTCTCAAAGTGTATATTATAGTTTGTCTCTACTCTAATTACTTCTTTGTGATTAGCAGTAATCTTTTACCAAGATATATGCTTGACTACATGCTAGCCAAAAAGTTTATTTACATACTAGTTCCTCCTTACCTCTTTGGAACAGTTTCTCAGAGCTGCTGAAAGGCTGTCTCCCAAGCTAAAGTCCTTGGTAAGACCATGAATAAAACTTACCCCCCCCCACACACACAGAGTCCTCATTTTAAAACTGCAGATTGGATTACAGTATTCAAGCTGTTCATAAAACTAGGCAGGATAAAGAGGAAAGGAAAATGTACAGTGTTAATTGTCTAACATTAAATTTAGAACCACAGAAATTTAAGGGAGAAAAGAAGATGAACTTGAGAGTCTAAAAATAAATCAAACAAATTTTAAATAAATAAATAAACCTTTTCACTTTCCACAGTACCTTTAATAAGTCGATACCACTGTTTGCAGACAAGGGCTGCAGTTTTGTGTTCTTGGTATGGGGAAAGAAACGACAGGATATACTCCAAAACCTCTTCTGGCAGTTCAGACATGGACCTATTATGTCTAGTCTCCTCAACCTCCAGTACTGGGTGGGGCTCCTCATCTTGCTCCATTGTCCCTTCCAGCACAGTTTCTTCTTGGTCCACAGCCATGAAACTGTCATCTTCACTGTCTGAGGAGCTGGCCATGACATTCCACTTGACACCTATAGTGGGAAACAAACAAACACCAGTATACACTGTCAGGAGTTCTGAAATAACTCAGGCACATACATCCAAGCTGTTTATGATTTCTTTTAGATCCTCAATATGGAAACTGTTGTTTAGCACTTTCCCACACTAGTTATGAACCACCTTAATTTGTCAGGTACAGCCCAAATACCAAGCCCATCCCAAAGTATCTAACAAATCCCTAAAGGCTTCTGATGGTATTTTTTCTGCCCAATGAAAACCAGAATGACAGCCAAGTTCTGGTACAACCGTAAAACCAAAAAACTTGTCTCTAACAACAACCCCTGTAACTAAAGGATCTGACTGGCAGACAGCAAAGGAAACAACAACTAGCTTCCCTTGGCTAACAACAAAATTCAAGACCTCAAACTTACAAGGAAAAACTAACTGTGGGTCCAAAAAGAGCAATAAGAACATTCTGAGGATGTGGGAATAAGAAATGACAGGTTTTTTTCACTTTTACATAAGTGACTTAAGAGGATAACAAACTTCCCAGTAATAGGCTTAACTAGCTGTAATACCAAATGAAAGGCAATATTTATACTAGAAAACATAACAGATCCAAGGAGTAAAAAACTGGAAACAATACAAACATCCATTACCAACAGAACAGAGTGGTACATTCACACAATGGAATACTATACAGCAAGGAACCATAGATACATGCATGGATAAATCTCTCAAACAAAATGCTAAGAAAAAAAGACAGAATAATACACACTACATGACCATGCTTATATCAAATTCAAAACTAGGCAAAATTAATTTATGCTGTTGCAAGTGAGAGTAGTGGTTACCAAGGTAACCACTGGGTGACTCCTGCGGTACTGGTAGCTTTCTGATTGGGTAATGGTTACATGGTGTGTTCAGTTTATGATAAATTTACCAAGCTGGTAACTTAATGCATTTCTCTAAAGCTTACCAAAGTAAGTCATTGTTAAGTTACCTCTAGTGGAGGTAATTAATTTTTCAAAAATCATAGGTAATTTTTAAACATCTTTGTGCTATCTGTATTCCTTAAATTTTCTAGGAAGAGTACAAATTAAAACACACAAACACAGAGGCAGGCAATTTATTTATACCATGCCACTGATGTTCTATGCAAAGCCTGAGGTAAAAACAGTAAAGAGAAGAAACAAGGTGATTTATGTAAGAAATGTGTCACAGGTTAGATTCTAGAGGAAGCAGATGTTAAAATAAGATAAGAAATGAAAAAGGTTTAATGGGGAAAACTTTTGTGAGAAGAAGGGAAGGACTGATCAGGAGGAGCCATCAGACCATGATGCAGATCTCAAAAAGCCTGTCCAACAGAGAGCTCAGGAGCGAGGACAGCCAGTTAGAGGACTCCAGTGCTGGGCAAGAAGGGAAGGCTTTCAGATCACTACTCTGCTCGCCACCACTGGCTGGAGGCTGCTTGGAGAAGAGCACGACCTTGGTTCCAATGCTGATACAGACCCTGAAAGGACTAATAGCTTTCTTTAGCTATACTCTTTACAGATGGGCAGCAAGTCATTTTTTGAAGTAGCATCTGAGTTCATTTTATAATCTTTTAATACATCCATTCTCTTAACCATATGCACCTATCCTGACCATTCTCTATGCCATCCACCTTGCAAATTTTCAGCATTCCCTCTGGCACTGATGAAAAGAATAAGAAATAATAGGAAGAGAAGAGTGATCCTGAAATATACCTTGAGGCCTTGAGAAAGATCTGAAATGTTCCAAAAGGTGAGGGGTCAGGGTGGTGCACAGAGAGCAAGAACAGAATCCTCCCGTCATCTCTACCACTCCTGTAATTTACATACTAATTATGCACAACATCTTAACAACTGGAAGAATAATCACATTAAAAAAGGAAAACATGAGTCAAAACTCATGAAATTGCTTCCAACATAATTTATTTACCAAATTAGCCCATGATGCTGCAATGTGTCCTAGCAAAGTGGCTGCTAGGATCTTGGTGATGAAGAATTGGTGGCTAATTAGAAGGAGAAGAGTAGCCTAAATCCTCCTGGGTGGGGGAGGTGGGTGCCGGCAGAGGAAGGGCAGCACCAATTCCCTCCATTCCTCAAAAGCAGAGAAGTACTGTGATAGGTTTACCATAAACTGTATTAGATAAAAGATCCTAGTTACCTCTGCCCACTTTGGGTGAACAGTTCGTCCATATGCTTAAATCTGCCAGAGGAAGGCCCTTCCATTTCCAGCCCTAACTCCTATCCTAAAGAGTACAGTTACATAAAATAGAAAACAATGATTAGAATTTTTTTCTGGCCCATCTCCTCCAAAAGTACCTTTTTCTACTGCAAAAAAAAAAATCACTCCCCATAATCCCTCTTACTCTTTCCCCTGCAAGTTATCATTGTTCATCCTCCATTGGCTATATTCTCGAATTTATTGACTTCCTCATATTTTTTTAACCTTCACTCAACTCTGAAATTCACCAAGGAAAAGAGTCCAGAAAAACAAATTCCTTGAGTTTGGCTGCATCTTTCACTTTTGAATTAAATATAGCATCACAATTACAATTGTTCCCTCACACATTTTGACAGATTGTGAGCCTAGGGTCTGCTTCTGAACAAACTGTATTGATGAAGGCTGCAAAAGGTTATTCATAACACTATTTTTTTCCCAAGCAAAATAAATCTGTTTGGCTCAATAAAACAACCTCTTACTCTTTTCCCAAATCTTCTCGGGAGTACAGTTAGCAAGCCTAAATAAAGGGACTTATACTTTTGTAATACCCAGTTTTAAGTAATTCTCATCAATCATTTCACTGTCTACAAAAGCATCAAACCCCATGTCCCTGAGGGCATGTTTGCTAACTTGGCCCTGAGCACAGATGCCAATGAGAACACATAGGGATGGGCTCAAATGCAATTCCTCTGTAATTACATGTCCAGCACCAATTTGCACAGCTCTTCATCTTCACGTCCATGATTAGGTAATGAAATCATCACTCATACTCCCAGGGGATGCAGAGGCATATTGAAACAGTTTTTTGTTTTTTCATGCCAAAAGAAGCCCTACAGAACATTTCACATCTAAGTGTAGTAACTCAATGAGTGTGGTTTTCCTGAAAATCTTTTTAAAAAGTCTTCCTCACCCTTCATATTTGTGTTAGGCCTTCTCAGTTTCCCCAAAGTGATCAAGTCTTTGGAAGAAACCACAAACTGAACTCAGCTTACTAGAATCTGAGCTCTCTGAGAGCAGAGACCACTAGCCTAGGCATCTTGTCTTCTGAGCACTAGACATCCAAATGAGGCCAAGGTTTACTGACATTTCTACTCATAACACCCTTTACATTATTTTACAGTACATCCAGGAAATAGCAGACCCTACCCTCATACGTCACTGGATGTTATCAAGGTATCTTATTGCTCAGAATGAATATACCTCTCTGATTCCTTGAATTTTGACCTTCTAAACTAAAATGTACACTGGTCTGAGAGTCTGCTGCCAGACTCCTGAGCCATCCCCAATAACCCCTTGCTGGGTCAAGAGGGTTGGTACTGACAAAACTATTTATTTGTCCCAGAAGAATCTTTTCCTTTGAAAAACTATTATACCATATCCAACTAAATACAAACCAGTTTTTAAAATCCAAATACCTTGCCCTTCTGGAGTATAAATTAAGGCTAAGACTTTAGATTTGCTACTGTCTAGCTATAAGGCTGTGTGACCCAGGGTAAGCCACAGAGAGTAAGACAGGAAAACCTCTCTATCTCTAAGTAATGAAAGTTCCCCACCTATTCTGGAAAGATAGCAGATATCAGCAAACTACTCTCAACTCATTGGAAGAAATCAATTAATTTGTGAAGAATTAAAATCAATTCAAAGAAATTCAAGACGGGAATGAAACTACCCTGCTATGCACATAACAATCAGTGCCAGATCCTAGTACAATATTTGACTAATTGTGCCTTTGATTTCTACACAACTAGACATCTGACAATCCTCTTGGAGTAAACACATCTTTAAGAAAATCAGAATGTATATCACTTACCTAAAAGGAAACCAAACATTTAAAATGCAATCAAGTTTAGCCACAATTTTAAAAGATTAAAAAATGCAATTAAGTAGGAAAAAAACAAACCCAATCCAAAAATGGGCAGAAGAGCTAAACAAGCAATTCTCCAATGAAGACATACAAATGATCAACAAGCACATGAAAAAATGCTCAGTATCACTAATTATCAGAGAAATGTGAATCAAAATTACAATGAGGTATCACCTCATACCAGTCAGAATGGCCATCATTCAAAAGGCCACAGATGATAAACGCTGGAGAGGGTGTGGGAGAAAAAGGGAACCCTTCTACACTGTTGGTGGGAATGCAGTTTGGTGCAGTCACTGTGGAAAACGTA